CCGATATTAATGCAGCACAAGCCTGTAATCATACATATAGAATATGAAGCAGAGGTTTTCGTCTCTCGAGTATAAAATGGAATGGGAACGATGATTATTAGTGCATTTCTTGGTTATTCTATAGTAACTAAACGCTACTTTCCAAAATATCAACCTTGTAAGTACGCAGTCATTTTTATCCGTCGTTTTAAGTGGTTCATGAGTCAATCGCGTTACCGGTAACATATGATTTATCTAAGTTTCAATGGTCTGACACTAAACAACAAACTTTTAGTAGAAAATTATTATTTTGGTCATTGTGAACGAAGTACAAGCTTGAAATCCCCTCTATTTAAAACGTAAAGGGTTTAGAAGCTTCTACATATTACAGTGATTCAGAGAAAAGTAAAATATTGACACTTGTAAAATGATAAGTTGTCCAGACATCTGTATATTATAAATAAAAATACCACATTAACCAATTTACTGTAATAAAGTCACCCTTTGAAAACATACAGCACGAAAAAAACCTACATTGTAATATCCCCGAAAAGAAAAAAGATTGTCATAAGCCACCATGAATTTCTTTCGTAATTTAACGTTTCATTCTACAAAAGCTGCACTCAACACAAACAGTACTCCGAATAAAAAGAAAAAACCCCTACGTTTTGAAAAATAATTTATTCCAGATAGAATAATTACCACATCAGACTCACAAGTTTAAGAAGTGTAATTAATTTTATGTGGAATAAATACCACGTTGAAAATTCTTTTACAAAGAAGCACACGAAGCACTAGGAAACCATCTAACGCGAGGGTTGCAACGAACACGCGATCAGGATTGATGAAATCGACGCAAAATTCACAACGATACTGTGTCTTTTTTTTTTCACAATATTACACAGGCGGAAAATCCGTCGGGACGACCGTGGTCGTCGGGCTCACCGTAACCACATGCACGATCCTCATGTTGCTGATCGCACAGGATCCCACTAGATCACTACACTGATCCGACTATGGGGACCACTGTTCATCGGCAACGTCTTTTAAAGCTTCCACGGAGCGACTGGAACGGGCACCGTTAAACTGGACTTGACGACATTTGTTGTGTGTGCACACACGCGCAATCAGCGCCGTTGGGTTTTCTCTATGGAGGCAAGAAAAAAAACTTGTCCGATCTACGCGCAAGGCGAATAATTGGTGCATCACACTGCGACTTCCTTTGAAGTGTACCACGTCTAGGTTCGCTGGAAGAACTTTTTCCCGCGTTCGACCGATGGAAAACTTTTTTTTTTTTTTTTTTTTTTTTTTTTTTTTTTTTTTTGATCGAATACTATACTTACGCTATATCGAAAAAGAAAAGTAACATCGATGTCCTCTTTATCTGGACGCTACGAAAACGAACGATCCACTGGTCGAATTTGATCACAGTATCATTGTCACAAGATCGAAAAGTATCATGTTGTATCTGATATTATCGAGTTTTTACAGCGTGTCGTGTAATTTATGGTTAAGAATAATGTTCAAAGGAAGATCGCAATGTCGACGCTGACGAAACCACGAAACCGACCGACTGACAATCGTTCGTTGTAGTTTTACGTTTATATATGTACACGCCCCCTTGTGTGTTCGTGGAATCACGAATATTTCTGTCGGTTTCCACCACTTAAAGGCCGTTGCCTCAATGAAAGTGAATTTCCCTGAGCTTTAATTAGCAGTGTCTGCTCGCGTCTCGCCGGCCGTCGCCGCGGGCAAATATGGCAGAATCGTTGGACTTTATCTAGAAACGGTGAAGGTAAAACCCCGAACTTCCAAGTAGCGTGTACAGGTCTCGCCAGACCTGTTTATAAATCAATCGATTGGCGCGGATCGAAAGTGATCCGCGGACTCGTCCCGGCCAAGAAATCGCGCGACGTCGCCATAAACGATGCCGAAGCAGAGAAATAAGAAGGGGACTGTTAAAAAGGCTCATTAATGATACATCAGGAATAGAATTTATCGGCGCGGACAGTGGAAAAAAAAAGGGGGTGAAAAAAAGACGAACGCTCGCGTAGATGGAGCTCCCGTGAAGCGATATCGATAAAAATTAGCAATTACAAGTGAACGTACGTCGTGTTTGAAAGTGAAGAAAATCCGAGAATCGCGTACCTCGGACAGTCGATCGTTTCGTTTCATTATTTCGTGACAGAAAATTGTTTTCTAAAGACAAAAGCCTTCTTAGGTGTCGAACATAAAATATTGTTAGGGACTTTTTTTTTTGTTTCCATTCATACATTGTTATTTAACCTTTAGACTGTCGGCATTTCTTCATAAGAGAAGTGATCTTTTTAGGTAAAAAATTTAATTATATATAATATGCGTTGCGCTGAATTTCGAGTTTTGTCAATGCCTCAAAGGGGACACTTCCGGTAGCTTAAAGGTTAAAGGGCTTCGTACATTGGTCTGGAAATGATAGAAAAGTTGTAGCACCGACTAGGTATAGAATAGGCCTATCATCCAATGCTTTTTTCTGTCCCACGATCATAGGGCTACGTAGCCCTGTTACCATTTTAGTGTCAATATCCGACGTTACCGATAAAGCATGAATTCTGGGTATTATTAGCACAAATGACGTGTTATTCCATTCATATTGTGTGTATCTATATGATTTGACGGGAATAAAAATATCCGATGCTTCAGTTTAAGGTTAAGGGATAAATATGACAGTCATAAAACATGAAACGGAAAAGTATATATGTTTTTAGTTAAGTACAAGACAATTTATTCTAAATGCATCGTTAATGGACATGTTTATAAATGTTACTTTTTACATGTTCTTGTTTTATTCGTTTTTATATCTTGCCTTACATTTGTATATTTGTAACAGATAAATTCAGAATAGATGTAGTTTCATAAATAGTTTATCAAATTTATATGTCGGAGAATATATACACCGCTTTCATTAACACCTACATATTTATAATTTATATGGGAGTGTGAATAGTTTTACTGCCTATTGTAAGAATTTTAATACGCACGAACAATTACTTTCTGGCAATTGGTAAATTTTTACATATGAATTTACTTCTACGTTATTTACGTCCAAAAATTTTATTTATTTCGGTGCTCTCCGTTGGTTCAACGCACAAGTGACGTTGCGTCACACAGTTTATTGACCTAGCCGTGTACGCGAAGAAAAACTAATATAGATCCGTCGGGATTCGAACCGAAGACTCCTTTCTAATACGTCTACTTTATAGCGAACGGACGGAAGAGAATCCGTTCACGACCATGGTCCCTTCTTAGATTTAACGTAGTTCAAAAATTCACCGTTCTCATAACGTAGAGGGCAGCAGAAAATCCCTGACATTTTACACTATCGGTATTTCAGAACATGAGACACGAAGTCCTATAAGCTGATAGGTCTATCCTATACCTAGGCGGTGATTGTAGACTACAACATTATTTTTATTTCGCAGTTTTACGCTTTACAGAGCATGTGAAAAATAAATAAAAAGTTCGAAGTGTTCAGTATCTACTAATGGATATTTATTAGTTGATTGCATCGAAGAGGATGCAGCTTAATCGTAATTGAATCGGCGCTTTCCATCGAAACGGAAACCATAAGCGGCACTGTTCGGAGCGTTGATCAGGGCGGGATTTTTGAACTGATGAAACGATCCGTGAAGATGCGCCGGTCTCACCGCGTTCTGTTCTTCCTCCTGCGCTCCTTTCAAGTAAAACGCCTCGAACTGACCATCCGGCAGTAGAATATCCTTCAGCGATTTGTCGTTCGGATCGTAGGCAGACGCGTGTAGCGTCAGACTAATTAAAACTAGACCCTGCAATCATAAATGATTCGTTAATACTCCATTTTAACGAGTGATAACATTTTATCCATCCCATCGTTCAATTGTCACCAAGAATCTCCAGATAGCATATGACACCTCGAAGACGCCCATTTTACGGCTATTCTAGGTCTAAGGCGCCTTTAAGTCGTCTTCAAGGTATCGTTAGACGTCATGTGCTACCTGAGATCAAATGTAGCTTCAATAGTTTCGTAATGAGATGGCTATATCTTTCGGTGCAATGGCGTAGGATGTAGGATGACAATTAAAAAAAATAATTAAAGATCATTTAAAAAAGTTGTTACACGCTCGAGTCAAGTGTTCCGGTGTTGGCTACTTCAGGATTACAAGAATTAGCATATTAAAGTGTTGCAACTGAGTTGGGTTTTTAGTATTTTATTTTCATCGTACGGCAGAGCGGATATGTTTGAATTTACAATATAAATTTCACCCTCATAACTCATTCTTAAAGCCTGGAAAAGAACTAGATTACACATAATTGAACTGTAACAAAAAATTAAACGGAATGTGTGTTCGTTCTTATAGACGATTCAAACCACGTCCACATTCAGCCACAAGATTTCTATAACTAAATCGAGCTCACAAAAAAAAAAAATACAACGTAATAATAACAGAAAAAAAAGATGCTGATAAATGGGAACATACCAGTAATAAAGTAAAAGTGTTGGAAGCCATACTCTCCAATTCCGTTCTCCACCGAATCGTTCTTCGTACCGTCTGGAACAATCGAGAAAGGGCCGCGTGTGTGCATAAAGTGAAAAATCAAATAGGTATATAATACATAAGAAAAGATAAAAAGAGTCAGTCACGTTATGTCCATTACGGACTGATATGAAATTACAGCTGTCATAAATTAGACTCACTAATAAGTGTATTCAATTCTGTGTTTACGAGGTGGATTTACAAGACGCGTGGCGCGTTTACCGTGAAGAACCTCTCGCAATTACGCGAATTCACGGCACGGAATTGGTTAATTTCACGATCCCCATCGGCGTACCTCGTGCTCAAACGCCGTGTAATCCTCCATCGAATCGCCATTCCGCGCGCACACGTTGTTAGACATCAACATAACGGATCGGTCAGATAACGATACGTTTGCTCCGCTAATTCGTTAATGGTATGTATCTCGCAGCAGACAAGACACGAGAATCGAGAGAAAAACGAAACAGAGTCGGAAAATTTTCTAACGAATGCATCGACATTTCGCTGTTTTCCATTGAAATGACACAACTTTCGGAATACAATACTCGAGATCGTTGATATTTCTCTTAGATCGTTAGATCGCGAGAAATACATCTTCCATCCCTTAATTAAAAGCGTACACAATTATTTATTTTTTTTATTAATACACTCGTGAACGCTACTAAGGCGTATTTGTCTCTGAATGTAATTCCTACAGGTAACTTTCTTCTTTCTTTTTTTTCAATTTCACCTCGATAACTTCTGCACAATGTTCGAATTATAATTCGAAAATAATTGTATTAAATAAGGTAATTATACTATTTCAGCTGAGAAATAATGTTTGTTAAATTATGAATTAAATTAATAAAGTTAACAAAGATCAATCTCTACTCTCCCGTTTGCTTCAGCGTCTACTGTTCATTATTCACGATTTTCGTATGTGTGTCTAATTCAAACTCATTCAGTTTATATTTCTCGGTGTCTAAGTTTTTGTCTAATCTAAGTTTTGCGTATGAACGCTTAATAAACTCATACTCGTTTAACTAATCTTACAAAAGATTAGCCAAGTCCACTTTCGATTTTCGACCGTTCGTTAATAAACAAGAAACACTGTGTAAAAAGAGAATTGTACTTAAGCAGATGGTTTGTAACTCGTTTGAAAATCAATTCGGACGTCTATCGTCAAAAATTGTACGTGTTTTCATGGTTGAAACTTACCGAACAGCCGTGGCAAAAGTGAAAGCCGCTCGAACGTTCGTACACAACAGTACGCAGCCTCGGGAACGTTTCCTCCTATCTGGTGCACGTTTAACGACCTTGCCACTGTAAGTGCCCCCACGTCCTACGAGCAAGAGCAAAGTAGCAGAGTAGTTTTGCGGTCCGCAGAAACGGAAGCCGATGAAAGTGGAAAACGTGAGACCTCGGGTTTCGCCACCAGCAAACGTTCGGTTTATACGTTGTCTTTTTTTGCAAAGTAAACGCAGGAGATCCGCATTTAGAAATCACTGAATAAGAAAGATTCGATAGTTGTCACGCCTTTATGGTAATTCATGTTTTATAATTTCAAATCATTTTTTAACTGTTGCGATTTAACGTCCAAACGTCCACGACAAAACTTTTTGGGGATTTGAATATCATTTGTATGATTCGTATGGAATTCATAAATTTGAATATATGCAACGAATATTTGTATGTTATTAAACTTTTTGTTGCTTGAATATTCAAACTGGTGGATAGATGAATATTCGTTCCTGTCCAGTTTGGCTCGACTTGTTCCTCACGAAACTCCTTAGGTGACACTAGCCTGAACTACATAATAAAGATAATACTGGTGAATAGAAGAAACTGTACAATAATTTATTTATACAAAAAATCAGGTATCTTCATATAAATACAAAATCGAGGAATAAGAAAAATGGAATTAAATTATGATATGCTTTCACGAAAAATAAGATATCTTATAAAAAATCTGTAGCTGCCGTAAATCACTGGATCGTTGACATTATTGTCTAGTCGAAATGTCACGAATTGATAAAATCATTGCAATCGATTCCCGAAATACAATATTTCAGTCTGACTACGATAAATAAACTAGATTGTTACAAAAATGCAATATGTTACGTATCACAATATGTGTGCACTGTACTTTATCTAGAGTGCGAAACTTCGACTTCAGAATTAATGTCATGTTCCATGTATTCCTTACCACATATATTTATACGCTACTCTTATGATGACGGTTATGTTAGTACAACAAACGCGTTCCACGTATCACGAGTAAAACATTTACAAAATTTAGCCATGTTGCTAGCACAATACAATGATACCAATATCTAAATATTTTCAAATGTGGTCGCAATAAATTGGAATCTTCAGATAATTGTATAAAATTACAAACATTCTATTCAGTTGTACATGACTCCATGATACGTCATAGTTTATATTTACATATAGTAAATATCTCTGGGATGCAGCCACGTATCTGAATACATTACACCGAATATAAATAAGAGTCTAGCTTTGTTTTGCACTTTGGAGGTGAAGTAAAAGGTGAGAACCAGGCAACTGAAAATCTTCCAAATACTGCTTGAATGGATTTCCATTTACTATTACGAACCCATCTAGCTTCTTCCTTCTTGAGTTGTTCAATGCCCTACAATAGAAGTACGAAAAAAAATGCATAATATTAAAAATCTGAATAAATTTTGTGTACCACCAGATGTTAATTACATACAGTTTCATCGTTCCAAATAGCTTGCAATTGTATTCCCAACATCACAGCGGTAAAAATGGCAAACAAAAGTGCTTCGAAAGCTAGAAAAAGTAAAAGAACCACTGTTGCAGGTGGACTAAATGTAGAACATTCTTTCCACTCTTGTCTCACACATGTAGTAAATTGTTGTATACATAAGAATAAAGATTGCAATGACATTGCCGCTATGTAGAACTGAAATATATTTTATAAAAGTTAGTTTATAATCTACCAGATTTCAAATATACAGGGACACTTACAGTAAAGAGTACAAAATATTTTTGATTGTTTTCTCCTACACAATTGTTAACCCATGGACAATGGTGATCCATTTTCATAATGCATCTACAGACACAACATGAAAGTAAGTATTATTATTTATGATTGACACTTAACAGTAACATTTAATGTACGAAGAATTCACCTTTGGCAAACAGAACAATGATGTGCTCTATCTGGTTTGATAGAGCAACATTTTGCACATTTAAATATTACTTGTCCATCTCTAAATCCCATTTGCTCTATCATTTCTGTCGTGGCATTACCCTTTGGAACTGCACCCTATACGTACACATTAATTTTTAATAACATACTAATATTTTTAATTCATAATTCCAATATATATTTTTTACTTACTGGATCTGTGAACATTGTCCTTAGATGAGATGCAAAAGCTAAGAAAGTTAGAGACTGAAATATTGCTGTGTTTAGACCAGAATATAATGTATTTATTGTAGGAATAAGGATGACTGCCATCACAACAAATTCTGCATAAATTATTAACATCCATGTTAAAACTGCACATATTATTCCACATATGTCCTAAAAGAAACACACATATCACTGCCTTTCATAAAAAAATATGAAAAAAATTAACTGTTGATCCATACATACTTTAATGCACCATAATCTTCCACCATAACATTTATTATGAACATCCCTTTCTCTCTGAAAGGTGATATAATCATAATCCATGATTTAAAATTACTAACAATGTCCTTAAACATTAATCATATGAAAACACAAATAACATTGATTAATATAATCATAGTTCATTGCCTGAAAGAAAGATTAAGACTGAAGTGAATGAGTCAGTATGATAGCTTACATCAAAAGTGACAGAATTTGTATGAAACTAAGTTTGAGTAAAGCTTAAATATAACCTAATAAACAAATACTTACACTTCAGCACTTAGGCTCACGGCAACTAAATAATGCATATTACCATTCATTCAAATTTTCTTTATTATATTATCTTTAATAATGTGTCTAATGTATACAACAAATATCGAATAACACAATTGATTTTTCTGTTGTCACCTCTCGCGTAATTGGCCTGAGCGGGTCCATCCATTAATAAACAATCGTGTCGTTCATACGGGGTTACCTTTAAATATCCACAAACGTTCGCTCATAACGGTTCAAATATAGCGTACAGTAAACGAATCACAAACGGGACTCGAACTCATTTATCACGTTTAGATTACGACAGTTCGGTCTCTAAACGTCACTGACGTTCACCATTGAACGATATTACGAACACACCTCCTCGCATTCAACTAGAGCTGGACACGCGTTTCCAATGAAGGTATACTTGAAAGTACATTAAGTATAGAAGAAATATAGTATAGTCCTGGAAATGACCGAAAATTAATGTATTCATGTTTTGCATGCTAGGAAAAAAGAATTCCCTCAAATATAAGGTATTACAATTCTTGGGCCTCATTCAGGAACGGTGACCTGACTAAATGTTATTCCTGTTTAATGTTTTCTCTACTTCAATTAAACGTCAATTGGTATTTAAATATAGAAGAAAAGTTCAATATTACAAACGCTAATTAAACTTTGTAGTTTCTTTACTAGTAAAAAATTACTCTTAGAATACCGGCATTATCCCTTTAAAACGGTAAAATGGAGCAACGTTACAAATCTGCATTCTACTTATCAATAGAACACCAACGGACTACTTTACGACCACTATATTTTTTACACTGATTATACTTAGAGGTAACGATATAAAGAGGTAATAACCCAGCAGGCTTATACAAAGAGTCAGAGAGGTCAGAGAGTTTTGAAGATTGTCTGGGCCTGAGGACCCTAGCTAAGCTGGGTCCGCGAATGAAGTTTCTGTTTATGGCCCCACTGAATTGCTACCTCACTATATCGTCACTTCGAACTATATTCGCGACTTGCAAATGCATCGCGTTATCCAATTAACCCCGTGAAAAGTTAAATGTGAATAAGGATGGATAGTAAATAGTACTAGATAACACCGGTTCGATTCATCAGTCCGTCGTGTTTCTTGCATGCGACTGCAAGTTTGACAGTACGCGGCAAAGGGTGGGGGCCATAGTGCGCAGCCATATTGGCTACTTGTGACTTTTGGGAGGAAGCAAGCAAAAAATAACCCAACTTTTCTCGTTTTTACGTGAAAAAAATGTTACCTTCGAGAATTTTTCATTGATTTTGCATGTTGATCTTATCAGCGCGAACACGATTATTGTGGGACGTGTGATCATTTGTACAAGGTCATCCTTTTTTACGGAAAATGGTATGTTAGCGTTTTGATTAATAGATAGCCTGCCTTCTCAACACACAGAACATCTCATTATGAAATTCGACGATCTCAGTTAATTTACTTTCCATTATTTAATTCTCCTCCGTTCGTAGAGTTTCTTTGGGTTTGGCCAGTCGGCTGACATAGAGATTACTTTGGATGGAACAGAGACCAGGAAGACTGCAGACATCAAGTCTGAAGATGGCAAAAAAGAGCGCCACTTGTTATACTATGATGGGGAAACTGTATCTGGAAAGGTAAAAATGTTTTCTAAGTATATTATTCTCAATGAAAAAGTATGAAAATGGATGAAGAATGTTACTTGTAACCTACATCGGTTAATCCGATGCTTCAAGTATATCGAAGCAATGTACATATTCGAGTCATTTAACTGTGTTTTACTATGTAATAGTCAATTCTGAGGAGCTGTTTCCAATTTCTTTTATGTTTCCATTTCTACTTGGACATATGTGTTTTATGTAACACAAGCATAATATACATTTATATTTACATTATTAAATGAAAGATATTCAGCTGTAATATGACAAGATTGCATTATCTATCAAAAAGTATAAATTGTAACAATACTCATGGTAAAGTAAATAATTTTAATCATTGTATTATTAATTACAGATTAATATTAGCCTTAGAAAGGCTGGAAAATTGGAGCATCAAGGTGTAAAAGTAGAATTTATTGGACAAATCGAACTATATTATGATAGGGGAAATCACTATGAATTTTCAAACTTGGTTAAGGAATTAGCTGGGCCAGGCGAATTGACACATAATACTGTGTACACTTTTGAGTTTGCCAATGTAGAAAAATCATTTGAAAGCTACACAGGTTCTAATGTACGGCTGAGATATTTTCTCAAAGTGACAATTGTTAGGAGACTTAGTGATATTGTTAAAGAACTTGAACTAGTTGTGCATACACTTAGTTCCTATCCAGATATGAATAACCCTATTAAAATGGAAGTTGGAATTGAAGACTGTTTGCATATCGAATTTGAGTATAATAAAAGCAAGTAAGTTAATACATTATACTTATTTTACTGTTTTAAAACAGCTATGTATTTAACGCTAATTTTCCATGCCCTAATTTCTTTCTAGGTATCATTTAAAGGATGTCATTGTTGGAAAAATCTATTTTCTTTTGGTTAGAATAAAAATCAAACATATGGAAATCGCCATAATAAAACGGGAGACCACTGGTTCTGGTACTGTATAATTATTTTCTTTTACTTATATGAAAATGATTATAATAGTCAGTGTTATAATTTTAATATATTTATCAATCTTTATATATATTGGAAAAAGTATTTTGTTTTTTGAATGTCCATTATCCGCAACTCAATGTACCAAAGTAATAATTAGAATACATATTTGAAGGTCCACATACATTCACGGAGAATGAAACTATAGCAAAGTATGAAATAATGGATGGAGCACCTGTCCGCGGTGAGTCCATTCCAATAAGAGTGTTTCTAGCTGGATACGACTTGGCACCCACAATGCGTGACATTAATAAAAAATTTAGTGTTAGATACTACCTTAATTTAGTCCTTATGGATGAAGAAGATCGCAGATACTTTAAGCAACAAGTAAGTTCGCGAATGCATCTATGCATTTTTTATATTATTCTTTGAAAAAATACATACAATTAAGTTGCATTTACACAGGAAATAACACTGTGGAGAAAAGTCGAGAAAAGTAGGAAATCTCAGACAGCTTCACCACATATGCCATCGCACTTAGTCTCCGCAGAAACAGGATTCCCGCAAGGAGCCGCCCAAAATGGTCCACCATCTGTGCCATCCTCAGTACCACCAGGGCAACTGCCATCTAGTAATACTACTAGTGTAGAAGATACACCAGCTCCGATAGAAGGCATGACACGCGAAGAAGGAGATGGTGAAGGTGAAAAAGAAGTTAATCCCGAAAGTAACTGAATGTTTACATATTGGGGCAATTACTGAGGACAGTGGAAATCTTACTAATTCAGGGAATCAGTAACAACACATGAAAGAATGATCATCAGCTGGAAACTAGTAGCATTGAACAGAATTTCTCTTATACAGTACAGAGAAATTGAATTTTAAGGACACCTGTGAGCAAAGTTGTAAATATTTTGGATACCTATAGATAATACAGGTGAATAAATTGAATAAGTAGCCAATTATCGATCAAAATTTCAAATTAATGAAACCTATAGGAAATATACTATGACGTCTGGTGAGACAGACATAAAATGATTATAAAAAAAAAAAGAAAATGTAATGTTACAGAAAAGAGTAATGTAACCACATAAAATGAATATTCATAAATGGACAATTTAATAATCGAATATTAATCAGTGGTACATTCTTGAATGGCATCTAAATGTTACAGTGGTCTGAATATTTTATACAAACTTATTCTGTGTTATACAAATGATGCCTTCAACCACTGGATTATTCTGGAAATTCGAAGCCTCTTCTATGACTACTTAATGTCATGTAAGAGTTTTATAAAGCTGAGATGAATATACATATACTCACAATGGCTGCCCTGTTTTAATCCATTCACCTAGTCTGCAATTAATATAATAAAGGCACTTTCTGAAAGAATGCTTTTATGTGTACCACACTATGGTTGAAATGATTTATACATAAAAAAAGAAGATGTGATGTTTTCAGTAAAATTTCTTATCAATATTTGTAAGCGGAAATAATTACTGAAGTACATTCAGATATGTGCACAGCCTACAATAATATAATATTAAATGATCCGTTCTGATGTTTAATATAATTGTATATACAAATCACTGAATTATATATACCAATTAATTTTTTAATAGAGTTTATATGCAAATCTAAAAGCCTTAGTCTGCCTGCTCAATTTTAGCATGCCTTTATTAATATAAGAGTGGACTATGATAGATTAAAAATGGGATAGCCCCACATGTATTTATAGATATATACATACATATTACAATATGTGTGTGGATATATACATGGTATATATGCATATATATGATTTTTACTGATAACGGTAGTTACAGGCTGGGTTATATATATGTATATATATATATACATACACACAAGTATCAAGATCAATTGTAATAACACTGAAGCAGTAATGAACCATAATAAAATATGCTCTTCTATCAAGGTAGTATAATCATCACTACCAAGGTAAGAGTAATGTCGATACGAAAGGGAATACCCATCGTTTTGTACGGTTCTATGTTAACATGGGTTGACTGTAAAAATCTTGTTAAAAAAATGAGTGCATAATAGTTAACCATGTGTATTTCGAGAATTTTTGTTTTGTGTAAATTAAAATTTTCATATTTCAAGCCTTTGTTATTTGTTGACAAGAAATATATATGTGTAAAAGTATGAGAGCGAGAGCGAGCGAGAGAAAAGCAAAACTAATTGTGAATTATTTGACATGTCAAATATTGTATATACATATACATATTGTCATACGATATGAATCTAGTTGTATATTTTAATGCCCGCATAAGTATATTATATATCGTATACAGTGTGCCTTCGTGTGCACGTATATTGGAAAGGAATAATTCGTTTATGCATACACCTTCCCTATTCTTCTGCCTAATCGATACAGTACTATCAAATATTTTTATTCTCATAATCCGTAAGTTATTTTTTATCCGGAGAATATTACAATTTAAACATATCAGCATTAAAATTCGCGATATCATATAAATCGTAGATTTAAATAACATTAATTTTATAACAAATTATAAAAGATGGAGTCAACCAACAAAAACGGAGTACTATTTTATAGTGACGATTAAACATTAATTTAAATTTCTCTAGTTCTCCCACTACTTCCTAAATTACTACATACTGACGGTCAAACGCCCAAATTTATAATTAACTACTTTTTCTAATGGTCTCGGATTATATGTTGAATTTTCCTGAATTTACATTATTGATTTATAATTGTTAATTATGCCAGTTTTAATTGATATGAAAAATATCGAAAAGGCCTATGGCAGCATCTACGGCAAAATGTTCAAGCTATAACCCAATTACTTGTACTTTCTTATCGCGAGATGGAGCCACCATTTTCTTTATACTTTATACTATTTTATTAGAAAATTATGAAGAAAAATGTATGTAAATGTATGCGCATTATTAAAACGCACAAAAAAATGACCCGTCGAAGTTACGTAAACCAATAACTTACAATAATTTAATTATACGTTAAAATGTTGTAACTACACTGCGAATAAATTTAATAGATTTATATTTTGATTGACTATTTCACAAAAACTAAGCTTAAAGCATCAATATGTAGTATTTTAATATTGTTTTTATTCTAGTTCAATGTTACACATTTGCGTATGTTCTAAACACATAAAATGCACATAATTCAGTTATTATATATTAACTTGTCGAATCATCAGTGTAAAAAATAATGTTAACATTAAAGTAAAATAAGTTGTTACAAAGGATAGTTTATTTGAGATCTCAGAAATATGTGAATATTAAATCATAATACATGCATGTCCGTTTGAATGTTTTATATTTTTTTCCTAGATATTGTATCAACAAGAAGTATATGTACATATCGGTTGCCTGAAGTATATATTCTGCATCATAAATCATTACATAAAATAAAATATCAATCTATGCTCTTTTGTTTCGTGTATGTATCTTTTCTTTAAAATAATGTTGAAAGTTCTTCCGTAATCTCTTTGCAACGGTACAATGAATGCGCACGAAATTCGAGTGACTTTCCTTTCAGAGTTCAAACTCGGTCATGCTACAATCAACATTGTACGTAATAATAATATAACTTTTGAGGGGGATAGTGTTATCATTGGTTTTCTAAATTTTCGTCCGGTGATACCAGCCTTGAAAATGAAGTAAACCTGCGAAGAAAATGAGTTAATGGAGATTTGAAGGTTTTAGTTAAAACAGATCCATGCAACGTGGAGAACTTGCTGTACAAATTGATCCAAGTACTGTGACAGTATCAGAAACATTTGAGAGAAATCGACAATGTGAAGAAACTCCAAAAATGGATTTCTCTTGAACTGATAAAATAACGGACATTTCATTATATGTTACGACCTAATATGTAATACCTCTATATATGTATTATTGATTGTTTTTGCTCTTCTGTTCCATTCTATTAAAAATTAATTAAAAGCTGTACATTATCACTATATCAAGATATTTGCAATGATCAAATCAATTTTTATAATTAAACTGAATCTACTATAATTTTATTAACGAACATCCGCGTTTTATTTCTTGCTATAACATTCACATGGAAATCAAGCTTCAATAAATAAACCGGAAGCAAATCAATTGGTAATTCCTTGCGTAAAAAATATTCATAGACGGTGTCAGGTATTTTGCAATACAGATTACATAGCAGTTTCGTAAGCAGGTTTAAAGAATGTAATAGTAGTATACGCTATACACATCCATATGAGAAGCACATTAAATAGGATGCGCGTTTCACTACGCGCAGATGTGGCGTCTGGATAAACAATTATCGTCTCTCTATCGTACTTGTATAAGTACTCCACTACCGGTTAAAGCTTCGTTTCTGGTAGCAGGTTAACGAAAGATGGAAGTACGACCGGAATTAATATCGGAACTCCGTGAAAAGTTTTTTAAAAAATTGAATAATGAGGGACCACCAGATCGTAGTGTGTATACTTCTTTTATTTTATGTAATTGATCGTTTCTTCTTGATTACGTGTTAAAACAGTCACTTGGACGAAAGGGCAAAATCCAATCCTAGTGTCACAAGCCAAGGTCAATTTCTTTTTATTGCCTTGCATATTCGATCAAAAATAAGACTAGTGTCACAACTATTTAAAAATTACATTATATGTCACTTTGTATTAAGTATTATATCATACAATATGTTCACGAAAATATATGATTATTAATCTCTTAATTAAATATATTGCAGAAGAATTTCATCCGGACGATATTGCCAGAATAGATAATAACAACTGGTTAAAACGATTTTTAGAACACAATGATAATGATATACAAGAATCGCTTAATATGTTATGGGAATCTTGTACTTGGAGAAGAAAATTTGGCACAAATGGTAAGCATTCAACGAATTAGATTAACAGTGTGTTTTTCAAGTTGTCAGTTGCTGTGCTTGTGCAATAACTTTATTGATATTTCAATGTTACAACTTTATTTGCAATGTGTCAATATTATCTAACCACAGAGATTACTGAAGAAAATGTGAGAAGAGATTATTTGGAAGATGGATTATGTTTCGTCCATGGTAAAGACAAAGATGGTAAACCAATGTTTGTTATTAAGTGTAAATTGTACACTAAAGGAAGTAAAGATTTTAAAGAACTTCAAAAAATTGTTGTCTATTGGTTTGAAAGATTAGAAAGGTAATATGATAAAATTTATGTCCGATTTAAATTCATGTATGATACATCAGTGTAAGTCATGTATTATATTGTTTCAGATATACTAATGGCAATCAAATATCACTTTTCTTTGACATGGCAGACACTGGTATTTTAAATTTGGATATGGAGTTCATTAAGTATCTAATTGGTCTTTGTAAAAATTACTATCCAAACTTTTTAAACTATATTATTATTTTTGAAATGCCATGGATACTGAACACTGCTTTCAAAATTATAAAATCATGGTTGCCACCGAAAGCAATCCCAAAAATTAAATTTGTTCAAAATAACAACATACAAGAGTTTGTAGAGTCCAATGATGTACTCACATGTTGGGGTGGTCCTAATGATTATGTCTTTACATTTGTACCAGAAGCACAAAATAGTATGGACGCTACCATGAATGGAAAACTTGATAACAAAAAGGTATATAAATAAGATTTTATATAACATATACTTAATATAACATAAATGACTTGATTTTAATTACATGGTTTATCAAAACTTTTAGGTGCATTTTGCAGAAGGATCTCCAATAACAGAACAATCTCCAAGCAATATTGGAGATCAGGAAAACGAAGAAGAATGTAAGTAATAAAATTATTTATTTTCAAATCATGGTCGTATTTTTCTATTATTTTGTGATATTTTATAGTGTTATCTATTGAACAAAAAATCATTACATTTAATAAGATGGGAAATGAAATTGTTGGAATAATTACAATCAAGAATGCAACTTCCGACCAGCCTTTGTCTTATAAGGTATTATATGTTCCTCTATACTACAATAAAAACCGATGTATGTTATTGATTTAGTTATTATTACTTACAGATAAAGACAACATCTCCTGAAAAATTCAAAGTACGACCAAATTTAGGAGTTCTATTACCTCAACAACAGCGTATCGTCAACGTCGTTTTACAGCCTGAATATAATGTTCGTGGTCTTTCAGACAATGATAGATTTTTAGTTATGTGTCTTCCATTGAAAAATGCAAACACACCTGCTCAAAAATTATCTGCACTTTGGAAGGTAATAACAATTATGGTAAATGTAATACTCAAACTATAATTATTAATTTACTCTTTTATAGACTGAAACATCAGTAGAAGACCATAGATTACGATGTTGTGATGGAGAAGCAGCAAGTAATGATATACAAAGACCATATTCTATATTATCATCTGGAATGTCAGAAAATAGCAGAACAATTGATACACTTTTCCATAGAGTAAGTAAAAATAAAATATTCTACAAGTAAATAATGGAATACATTATTAATAATTAAATTGACAAATTGCAGGTAACACACTTGAAAGAAAGTAACACAAAACTCCACAGTGACATCACTTTCTTAAAATACTCATTATTGTTTTCAATAATAGTGACAATTGTAATGGCTATATTGGTTGTTTACATTTTAAGGATTGATATTAAAAATTCTATGGACCAAGAGGCCTGTCACATTCCACATGGTATAGAATCTTTCAACTAGAAATAGATTTGATTTCTATACACATATAATAGAAATTTTTATTGCTGTATATTTCTGTTTATTCAGTAATTCTGATATGCTGGCTTTTATCTTTTCTATTCTTAGTTCGTACAATTTCTAATATTTGCAATGTTTTCGTTGGAAAATGACATGAAGTTAATGTAACTCCATAATTACTAATATATAACGAATAAGTTACTGTTAATTAAAGAATTTTTATGTGCAATATATTTAATATATCAGAAAAGAAAATGTATTATTATTGGTATAAAAATTTATAACCACATAGAGTTATTTTTGTAACGTTTTACACGTGTTTATACATGGTATTCATATTGAGCATAAAATGGCTCATACTTTACATGTATTATTTTATTACGAAGATTTCTAAATTTAATTTGTTCCTATTTACTTGTGTAACAAGCCTACTCATGTCTCTACTGTTAAATATTGTACTATTAAATACATAATAACATTGATTACTTCTGTTTCTTATAAGCTGAAACTGTTTATAACATCTATAAACAATAATAAACACCAATGTCGCTAATATTAAATTTATATTAAAACAAAAAGAATACTTCTAATAAAACTGTGTTTTATTATATATTAGGATCAATTAAAAGTTATGTTTATATGTTCATACTTTCTTACTGATATGTTTATAAATTGTGTTATTAAAATAAAGTATATATTTAATGTATTTGTACTGATTGAGAATAGTTTATCGTTTAGTTGTATAATTATATTAGTAACTACAGTATTTCTTTCATTAAATATATCTTGCATATTCTGAAGAATTCTGTGCTTAACTGTATCGCGGTAAAATACAATTCATAAATTTTCGTTAATCTGTATTAACAACTTAACGTGGCTCTACTTGCAAGCTATGCTTGATGCAAATAACAAATATCGTTAATATTTTAATTATCTCTAGAAATTGAAAATACGTTTCATAACAACATTACTTGTATGTTTCATAATAATTAAGTTCTGAATTTGAAACTAATTATTGGTTATACCGGTGTCGATTGTATTTGCGTACAAATATATATCAATTTACAATCACTTAAAAAGAAAAAAAATGGGTCCGATAGCCCACAGAAATGGGTGGTGGTTCCCCCCCCTCCTGCCCGACTCTTTCATTTTTTCCCCTTCTCCGATCGAAACCTTTCCCGCTCTTTTCGCATGGCGTCGTTTTTTTTTATCTTACCCAGTGTACATCTGTTCAGAAGTGTACACTACGAATACATCTCGTTGCTGTTCGGAGTATACTTTCCTTATTATGGTAATAAACCAATGAAATTGAGACACGTGCATTAGGAGCTCGGTATTCTAAATAAAAACGAAAAAAAAACAACGTAACAAGAAAAAACGTTCGGTCGGTCAGGTAAGATCACGGAAGATTTAACGCCCGGAAGTACCTAAAATGACGGTCGTCCGGTATAAACACGACGAGTGACGCGTACCAGTGCGCAGCTGCCAACGCGCAGCATTTGAACGTTCGTAGTTCGATCGGCCATATTGCCCTCTGGGTCTTACACAACGCCCTCACACGAACGATCGTGAGTTTACGAGGTAAGCGAATATTTCGAGGTTTCGTGTGGTGTGGGAGCCTGGCACAACGTAGAAATACGATTCCGTGCGAAGAAAGACGATTTTACGCAGTAATCGGCAGAACCTGGGACCACTGGTCGCGAGCAGAACGCGTAACATCGGTGAGTTGTCCACAGCACGTAGCAGAACGGACAGTATTCCCTTCCGTCGCGTCCTCCATATTGATGACAGCGCCGACGGTGATAATTTTCTGAAATTTTTGTCGTTAATGCCCCCTGTGTCCTGAAATCGAAAGCACCCGCGTTGTCTTAAAAGCTTTCCGACAGAATGCGCAACTTCGACGGCCCCGCTGACCGACGATAGTCCTGTTAACGATCACGAAAAACCTGCAGGCCCCGCTACGTATTTCCACGCGTTCCTCCGTCCATTACGGCCGTGATCGGATTTTGCCCATGGCGTCATCCTCGTTCGCATTGCCCGCTTCGCGCGTTACATGGCGTTCCGTCGTGGCGTGTGTCGCTTCTGTCAATCTCGTTTCGTCCCGGGAACGCTAAATGACACACTCTAATACACGCTGAATTTCGGTGATCGCCAACGTGTAGCCCGACTCTCCGATTTTCCGCTCAGCCTCGCGTGAATGCGCCCGTCCACTCTTTCATACCGTCGATTTCTTCACCCAGATATTGATTTTCCCTCTATTTTCCACGCGACCACGATGTCTCGTGCATTACCACTTCTGTTCCGGTGGTAATTCAGTGGAGCTCGTGTTACTCCTGTATACGCACGTGTTTCGTACGTTTCTCGAGTGCAAAACTGATCACACTTGCGCATTCTTTCCGTACCGTTGTCGTATTTAGCTGCATACCATGCTTGGAGCTCATGTTTCCTTTCTGTAATGATTTTGCGACTGTATTAACCCTGCATTCTTTCATGGATGTTCGTTTATGTATATTTTGAATTTATAGCATTGGGGATTTTAGTTATACATAGTTTGTTTATGTATGAACGTTTGAGTAGTTTCGTTATTATTTAAAAGATGTAAAGCTTGTCTTTCCAAATAAACATTACATGTTATTAAGACATTTGTATATCTTCATCCTATGATAAGTTCTATAATATAAATTTCTTTTGGAGTAGAATGTATATTTTTGTTATAGCCCAATTGCAGTGTACGTATTACAATGACACAAAATAAACTAATGTTTGAAATAGTGAATTATTTTGAAGCAATATTTCATATATCGTAAGTGGTTTATTGAGATTGTAAAATAAAGGGTGTAATTGATATTGTTCCAGACTGATGAGAGAGAATATAATTGAATGATTTAATGATTTTACCATGACGAGTAACGTAGCAACAATTAAATTAGAAGAGGGGCAAGAATCTGTGACAGAGATACAAACATACTTGGAGACATTTAATAAAGAAATCGAAGGTCAAGGGGAGCAATTGCAACATGTGCAATGTTAGTATTGTAGATGTAATTTATGATTTGTGATCATAGATAAGTATAATTGGCATTAATGTATTGTATTGTAGTGCAACAAGTGGAAGGATTGTCAGGTGGTGAGGAAGGTGGAACTTATTTTGTTGACCAATCTGGTCAATATTATTATCAAGCAAATAGCGATGAAACGCCTGTAATGACACAAGTGCAAATTCAAGAAGTAGAGGAATCTGATGCACAGAATGATGGAGAAGGTTCTCAGGAAGAACAGTATCAGGAAATTGAAGAACTTGAGAATGTTGACGGAGATGAAGATGTATGTAAAAATTATTGGTCAAATACTACTTGCTTATACATTATTATATTAAAAAATGAACTAATCTATAGGGACAGGTGGCTAATAGTGGAAATAATCAAGTTGTCATCAATTCTGGAGATGCATATCAAACAGTTACAATAGTACCATCTGATACTAACCCTGGTGAAGTCAGTTATGTGTTAATAGTGCAACAACCTGATTCTGAAGATAAAGACAGTAGACCCATAGAAAGAGAAGGAACAGAAGGTGAAGAAGGAGAGGGTGAACAAGACCTTACTGTCTATGACTTTGAAGACAATGAAGACAATGAAGCTCCTGCGGAATCAGAAGCAGAGGATGATAAAACCAAAATTATTAAGTTCCTACCCAAAAAATCCCAAACAGTTACTCAAGCTCATATGTGTAATTACTGTAACTACACAAGTCCAAAACGGTATATTTCTATAGATTTTGTAATTTTTTTCTGAATTCGTTTGTTCCCTTAATACACTGACAATAATTTTTCTATCATTACTATTCAGGTATCTATTATCAAGACACATGAAGTCGCATTCAGAGGAAAGACCGCATAAATGTAGTGTTTGCGAAAGAGGATTTAAAACATTAGCTTCACTTCAGAATCATGTTAATACACATACTGGGACCAAACCACATCATTGTAAATTTTGTGACAGTGCATTCACAACTTCTGGTGAGTAAAAGTTCTTCATAGATTGTTGATCTTGTTCCATAATTGCTTGCTTCTATCATGTTAACAGGAGAAATTAATTATTAAAATGTATTAGAATATAAAAACATAATAATTATTATTCATGTATAGGTGAACTTGTTAGACATGTTCGATACAGGCATACACATGAAAAACCACATAAATGCCATGAATGTGACTATGCATCTGTTGAACTGTCTAAATTGAAGCGTCATATTAGATGTCACACAGGGGAACGTCCATATCAGGTACATTATATTATTACTTTTGCCTTATACTTATCGTATTTAGTTGTACTGGTCCATTATATAAGTACAATATAAAATACAAGTATAATTTAATGGTTACAGTGTCCACATTGTACATATGCTAGCCCTGATACATTTAAGCTCAAACGGCACTTGCGAATACATACTGGAGAAAAACCATACGAATGTGATTTTTGTCAAGCAAGGTTTACGCAGTCAAACAGTTTAAAAGCTCACAAACTTATACATAACGGTATGATGAAATTTCAGATACTTCTTTATAACTATCTTAATGAGTGTTCTGTGATTTATAATATTATCTATTACAGTTGGCGATAAACCCGTATTTCAATGTGAACTATGCCCAACAACTTGTGGCAGAAAAACAGATCTCAGGATTCATGTACAAAAATTACATACCTCAGACAAACCTTTGAAATGTAAACGCTGTGGAAAAACATTCCCAGACAGGTGAGTCCTTACTCTTCAGAATGGTTACAATGACTCTTCAGAATATACAATGGTTATAATATTTTCTTTAGTAAACATGAGGCACGTCATACTTTTTGGTCTTGCAGATATAGCTATAAACTGCATAGTAAAACTCACGAGGGTGAGAAATGCTATAAATGTGATTTATGCCCATATGCATCAATATCTGCGCGACATCTGGAAAGTCACATGTTAATCCATACGGATCAGAAACCTTATCAGTGTGATCATTGCTTTCAGTCATTTAGACAAAAGCAACTACTCAAACGTCATTGTAATCTTTACCATAATCCTACTTATGTTCCTCCTCCACCACAAGAAAAAACTCACCAATGTCCTGAATGTGAACGGCCGTTCAGGTTTGTAGTGTTTTATGATGCATATATTAAATAAGTAAAAGCATGACTTTGCATATTTTTACTAAATTAAAATGTTTTTTTATAAATATCATTCATTATAAAATTTAATATTTCTTTACTTCAGACACAAAGGAAATCTTATTCGACATATGGCTGTACACGACCCGGAATCGTCCCTCCAAGAGAAGCAACAAGCATTGAAGATGGGTAGACAGAAAAAGATTCAAATCATTGATGGACAAAGAGTTGAAGTAATGACAGGTTAGATTCTGACTAAAAGTCGAAAGATTCTACTTAATTCATCTATGTGTGTAATTGGTATTCAATCAAGTTTAACGTATGATAGTAGTCTTTAAATTGTATGAACAGAGAAAATTTTTGGCACATATAAGATGAATGATTATAAAAATTTGTGATCACAGGGACATTTACGATATGATCTGTGTACAGGTCATTGACTAATATCCATGTGTTGCATTGTGGTAACAGGTAATTTAACTTCCAAACTTAAAGGTTATGAAGACGAGGAGGAAGATGAAGAAGATATGATGGCAGTTGAAGGAAGTGATGGCCAACAGTATGTAGTGCTGGAAGTGATTCAACTAGCTGATAATCAAGGAACTGATCAAGTGGGTACTTTAAAATATTAGAATTCTAAATCTTAATACATATTTGTATCTGAACGTAAGTACAATGATTTTGTTTTTGTTTCTAGATGGCTGTTGTAGCAAGCGAAGATGGAGACCTGGTAATGCAAGATCCTTTGAGCCAAGAAAGTGGCATTGTAACTGGTACAGGAGAAGATGGAGACGATGTAGAAGAGGACGAAATGGAAATGGACGACTTGAAACTGGACACGGAACAGTTGACTAAATCTGCAGCTCAAAATGCGCAAAGCGATCCAAAGTTACAAAAAGAAATGGAAACCTGTTTCGGTTTTGACGAGGTAATGTGACTCAAGCTTTTGTTGCTTTTATAGGTTATTATTTCAAAATCTGTTTTGACGTGTATCGCTTTGGAATGTTCCAGGAAGAGGATGAAGAAGATGAAGAGAATAGCAACATAAATATATTGCAGACAATTTCGTAATGAGAATAACGAATGCGAGAGAACCTATCTATGGAATAGTTAAATGTTTTTGTCTCTCTCACATTGTCAGTGCACAAACTGTGAGTGAAGTGTACTACTATTTCAAGACTCTGTGCATAGCTCCAGTGGAAGCTACCACCTTTCAAGGCTAGAGTGGTCCACATACATGGTACAAGAACTCTTTTTGCCACTAGTGCATTAGGTGTATGTAATAATTTATGAAGGAACTAGTAGTCTTGTGGTTTAGTGAAATATGAAGCGAATGTACAATTATAATAATGTAAAATATTATTTTACTTTATTATCAGTGAAAATTATTATCTCTTCTGGAAAACAACATAAACCAGCAAAGCATGTTAATAACGATAAACAAAAATTCAGATATATTAAGAGTATAGGTTGGCATAATATTTTTAAACGAGTTATTTAAAAACTTTAATATAAAGGCACAGTGCATAGTAAAATGTTTGAACTGATTGAATGTCGGTCATTGTCGGAATGTGGTTAACAAAGCCGAAATTATAAAATAAAATGAGGCTGCAGTGTAAATAAACGCTTTCCATTACACCTCATTTTATAGACAGATACAGTGCTCTATAAATGACTAGGAAAAGAATAAAGACGCTGAAATTGTATCGATCGAATTTTACATTGTATAACGTGAGTAAAATTTGCATATACATAGGTATGTATATAAAAATCGGTAATAACGAAAACAAAAGATTAGGAGTTTTTCGTTGACCTGGAAGATGTTACATTCGTGACTGTATATAGGTATTTCGTAATAATAATAAACTATCATTTTACAAGTAAGTACCTACGAACACTACTAATAATTATGATTATACGAACTTTTTGTTACTATATAAAAATATGAATGCTACAGAATAACCCAATGTTCAGTGTAATATCACGATTACCAGTGTGTTTGTAATTTTCATCCCTTTTTTTAAACATATTTTTTTCTTGTTCATAACACGAGCTCTTTAAAATATTGTCCTTGCCGGATTAATCGAGAGTATTAACAAGATCATTAAAAAGTCAGGCATATTTGTGCGGAAATAAATTCTGCAACAGGTTATCGTAGAATATGCAATTATGTGATATCCGGGGACAACTTTTCCAACGGTACGAATTATGTAGGTTTCAATTATGTAATCGATTTATTATTGTAAACGTAATCTAACACGCAGTTTTTCGTACACTGTTGCACACGTAAGTTATGCTATGTACCTTGAAACAAACTAATACTGTAAAAAAAAAAAACTGAAAGAACATGTAAAATTTTTTACACTAGAGCTGTAAAGTTGTAATTGAGTGACTGATAATCATTACGTGCTCTTCAAAAGCACTTTCGTACATTATCCCAAAGAAAAACGGTGTAGCATTTTCTCTATAATAAACGTTATGTCATCGACAATGTTTTCTGAAATTATTCCCAGTGTTCTTATTCCTTGTGACAAAGGAAACATTTTTATATTAGAAGTGGTTACTGTCTGTGTGCCCTGAGGAGCCATAAATACTATGTCTGATGTGTTTGTTCGAGCGGTTAACATTATTAGGAAAAGCCGCGCCCAACTGCACCCTTTACGGTCGTTAACCCCATACATATTTACGTATCACCGTTTCATTTATCAGGGTACGTTTGTAAAACACGCGATACTTTCTTGATGGATTCCTTTGTGACACTTAAAAGATGAGGAAAAATACAGACATACATATATAAAATGACGTAACATTTATCTTATAAGTTATTCAAACTGAGAAGTTGATACTTAGTATTGTTGATTCAAGTAGAAGATTCGATACTGCGTTCGCTTGTATTACGAGATTGTCCCTACCCTGTATATTTTCCATAATCTTTTATTTATTTAAGTGTAATCATGTTATTTTTATAAAATAATATTGTTTCCACATTGGGGTTTCTTTTTTATATTTCTTTACTCGGAGTAGTTAAATGAAGCTAAAAGAAATAACATTCCTTGTGTAGCAATTTTATGGATACTATTTAATGAATTTTTGACAACGTGCATACGATTTATGATTCGAGACGATGTGTCAATTGCTTCGTTTTACCCACCCGATAGTTCACGCCTTCCATTTGTATTCCCGGTGTGTCCGTAGGACGTAATAATAATCTCTCTTTCAAAGGAATGTCGAATGAAAGCCGATGTAACAATACGCGTATGATTTCGTGCGTGCAAATGATTCGCCCGTCGTCGGCGAACTTTGATGATCGTGATTGTAAACGTTACCAAACATACTCTCGTTTCTTCTGACTTCTATGATACTTATATACTTATGTCCACGTCAGCTAATTACGGCCAAATGTTATTTCTCATTCTTCGAAACAGAGTTCATCGATCTACAATGACCGTGGTACTTCATACATCATCTATAATCAAATATTATTTGAATAGCATTACCTCCATTATATGCTATTGAATAATACACTTCATCAATATAACTATACCGTACTTAAAATATACATACAGTGTGTTTAAATTGTTGAGCCAATCTGTCTCAGCACCATTTGCTAATCGTATACAAAAACTGTATATATAATTATGCAACACATTACTGTAAAGAGAAAAATATTTATCCGTATTAGTAGTTGCTCAATAATTAAATTTTGTAGGGACTAGATGAAAAATTGAAGTAACATTACAGAAATTATATACAGTCCCCTGTAACAATGTACATATATATTTTGCATCCTGTCGTTCGAATATCTCTGTTTGAGGTAATGCTATTGAAAAGTTCTATATATGTATATATGCGAGGTCTTTTATTTGGTATTTTTTAATGAATGTATATAATATGTTATTAACAATAAGTAGAAAACGTTGGTAAAGTATTGCCAATTTATGAACATCCTTATACGCTGCATCATCTATTTAGTTCATTGTATGTATATAATGTTTCTGTGTACAGACTACTGCATACCGTGGAAAAGACTGCAAAGCGTTAATCGCTGTAGGCGCGTGTAATTAATGAAGTCATAATTAGCGAGAGAGTCTCACTCCGGCGAAGGTGGGAGAAAGCGTTTCACCGCGAAAGGTTCGCGTGGAATCGTAGCATTTCGAACGATTTACGGTGACTCGTTTTCTACCAAAAGATAATCTCGGTTCGACAACGTTTACATACTACTGTCGACAAACGAAACGGACACGGGGACAAATGGACGTGGCACAGGATACAGGCCCACGCGAATGCACTCTCTTCGCCTCCCACGGTCCTTCTTTTACGTGGTAACGTATCGGCGGTTTCCATGTGGAAGAAGAGGAGGTTACGAACCACCTGAACATCCATGCCAGAATTCTTTTTTGCTTTTTGGGGCCAGAGGAACAGTATAACGAACCTGCTTCAGCTCTGTCGATCTTACGAAATTACTTTCGATCAGTGAAAATATATTATTAACAACAACGCAGGCTCTGCTCTACATATACATTACGTGTAAGGGATTTGTAGCGTCATATTGCTAACGCGTGTAACGTTCCTCTAATGAATGCTGCAAGAATCCTGCGACCGAAGAAAGTTCTAATGAAAGTGTTGTATACTAGTGTGCATGTAATACCTCACATTGTTGTAATGAATTGTGTAGAATAGTCTGAATGAAACGGTTATCGCACCGAAAAAAAACAAAGAAGTCGCCAAGGATAACAAAGAAGATCGAAACTAGTTAAAGTTTAAGACAATATACTAATGTGCATAGTTTGTATAAAAGAAGTCCTGGTATAACGAACCGATCCAAAATGGAAATTCGAAGTTTCGTGATTCATGGAATATGAAAAAAGGCGACTACTGTTACTTCTGCTTCTCCGGTTTAAATAGAGAAATGATCAAGCCAATAGGAGACAACTGTGAAAACTAGATTTGTATTTTTCAACCATCAAAATCATGCGAGGTTGTGTAACAAAGTGGTTGTTTAAAAATGTACTGTTACGTATTACTTTTTAAAGACTAATAATCTCATTAGTTGTATATTTCCTCATAGATACCGCTTTAACATTGTTTTGTTTCGTCTCGTACATTTTGTTCCAACTTGAGTTTTTAATTTCTCTGTAAACGCGGTTGAATTTCATGGGTACGATGCGCGCGCAGTTATACAGTTAGTATGCGCCACGGCTCCAACGCTTTCAAGTGTCACCCCGCGAAGGTGTAGATAATATTCGTCGTTCGACTAAAATATATGAACACGGTTGTGACAAATATACAATAAACATATTACTGTTTATGTACTTGATACAGTTCTTCAATCGCGATGTGTTTGTTTTTCAATTCGAGTGAGTCGGACGTTTGAATTGTTCAAGGAGACCAATAACAGGTTAATGGCACAATTGTTGGCGGGATTTGAAGCAATCTATGTGAGTGCTTACTTTTCCAATTTTATTTTGAACATATTACATTTTCAGTTATGCTATTGCCGTTTATAATTTCTTCATAGATACCGATTTAACATTGTTTTGTTTCGTCTCGTACATTTTGTTCCAACTCGAGTTTTTAATTTCCTTGTAAACGCGGTTGAATTTCATGGGTACGATGCGCGCGCAGTTATACCGTTAGTATGCGCCACGGCTCCAACGCTTTTAATTGTAACCCCGCGAAGGTGTAGATAATATTCGTCGTACGACTAAAATATATGAACACGGTTGTGACAAATATACAATAAACATATTACTGTTTATGTACTTGATACAGTTCTTCAATCGCGATGTGTTTGTTTTTCAATTCGAGTGAGTCAGACTTTTGAATTGCTTAAGGAGTCCAATAAGAGGTTAATGGCGCCATTGTTGGTTGGATTTGAAGTAACCTATGTGAGTACCTACCTGATACGTATACTATAATTTGCAATGAAATAAAAATACTGGTGATCGCTTACCAACATTAGTTCGATGCGTGTTTATTGCAACACTTTTTTTTCTCCCAACAATCTCCGTTCACCTTGTCGGATTTCTATATTTTCCACCGACAATCTCGCGACGTCCTGTGTCGAGGGG